GGCCCTACAAAGCAGGCACTATCATTATCCCCATTTTGCAGATGAGGAGACTGACGCACAGAGATGTTCCGTGATTTGCCCAAGATGATACGAGGTGATTCTAGGATTTAAATCCAGACGACGTGGCTTTAGATACTCGCTTTAGATACTTCGGTGGTGGAAGTCAATCTGCCCTTTGTAAGTGGAGTTGATAGTGACAGTTCTGCTTTTAGCAGGGTGCGTGCCTTGAGGTGTTTCTTCCAGAAATGGAGGTGTAGTTAACTGATTCACCTATACTCATTGGCCCAGCCTCACTCACAACCAACAACTCATGTTTTTTAGATGTTTGGCAAGGCGTTTGGGATTCCCCGGGGGATCGTGAATAGAAAGAGGCTGATGGCTGCTCCAGGGGCAAAGTCTTTGGCTGAGACAACAAGGACGTATGAAAACCTCTCTGCCCACTACAAACCAGAGTGGCTTTGGGACTGTAACACAGTGTCCCACAGCTCCTAGGGTCTCTCTATCCACACAAACATGAGGAATGTGGGAGAAGGCCAAGATTTCGCTAAAGTCACAGATTCCACCTTCTAAAAACCATCCACATAGGGTTTCAGGTACAAACATGTATAACAAAACGGCTTCAGCCCTCGTGTCTGAGTTACGGCTCTCCCATTAAATATCCGTTTCCTTCTCGTCTGTGAGGCTTCCCCACTGATTCTGACACTTTTCAAAACTGTTCACGTAAAACTCTTCTGGCTCTAACACCACTGGCATTATAAGCCACTGAGAACACAGTGCTTCAGAGAATGGGCAGTAAACTGATATTAACTACTAACCAATAACAAATATTTGTTGCATGCATACATGCATACTTTGCTGATCATTTTGTATGAATAATCTCATTTAAATCATCACAAAAACTCATTTTACTGAAGAAGACACCAAAGCACAGAGAAGTTAATTGACTTGCTCAAGGCCACACAGCTAATAAGTGGCAGAGCCCCAAAAAAGAAAAAGTGTAGCCTTTGAGGAAGGACTTGGAGAATTTCAACATCATTTACAAACACATGAGGCTGTGGGGATACCAAATTATAGAAATCCCAGTTCCTGCCCCAAGAGTTGACAGTCTAATATGGAGAGGATGTAATAAAGCAGAAGTCATTAACTTAATGTAATCGACGTTTATTGAGCACATACTATGTGCCGGTCACTGTAGGTACTTGGGGAGACAGCAGCCTTGTGATGCGTTCAGTCTGTTGGGAAGACAGATGGAAGCCAAATAAAAGAATAAAATGAAAAACAAAACACAACACAACACAACACTGGAGGAGTGCTGACTTGTTTCACAGAAGGTGATTCAGGAAGGTTCTGCTGAGGCAGAACAGTGAGACGGTAAATACTCCAGGGGTAAAGCAACCGTGTTCAGGGGTCCGGGATAGGTCCGTGGAGCTCTGGAATCTGGGTGCTCATGATCCGCCCAGCAGGATGGGTGGGCTGGAGAATGCACTGGGAGAGTGAGAGCGTTCAGGCAAAGGGACTCGCGTGAGCACGCAGGACTGGGCCTGACGCTGGTGGCAGTGGCCAGCTGCTCCATCTGCCCACCGCACAGCGCGTGAGCAGGAGGGACCAGAGGAGTTTGGAAATGCAGGTGTATGGGAAACGCTGGAGAAGGAAAGGCCTTCTAAGCCTTAACATCCCTCGTGTTTGACCCCTCTTCCTGTTACCTTTGCTCAGGCTCACCCTCCATTCCAGTCTCGAACGATAGTAAGAGGGATGTTCTAAAAAATCCAAACCCTCCTCCAACCTCTCTGCTGCCCCAAATTCCTTTACAGGTTGGGCACGGTTTTCAGGAGAAAGGTACAAAGCCCTTAACTATGGCACACAAAGCCCACAGGGTCCAGCACAGCCCGCCCTCCATGTCCAGGCGCCCTTCCTCCTGTGCCCTGCCAGGGACTGAATGCACTGCAAGGCCGTAGTTCTCCTGGCCTTTGTCTTCCCCGAGTTCTCTGCAAGACCTGTCCCCAGCCCAGCCAATGTCAAGGCAGGGCTGACAAGAGAGCCAGGGGGCTGCTTCTCCCTCCCTCCAACCCAGGCATTCCCGCCCCATCCTTCCCCTCCCTCCTGCCTTCCTTGTAATCTGTGCTCTCTCAGTATGGCGAGAGACGACTGTGACCATCAAAAGAGGCCTCCTTGCTGCAGAGGACTGTCTCTCTCTAGGCGTGGGTTCCTGGACAGATTTTTATCTGTTGCTTTGCTGCCTTTCGTTAAATTGTGTTCATAAGAGACCACAATTTCACGTTTGTATACACATCTGGCAACTTGCTTTCACTATGAGGTAGAAAACACCTATTTGCATTTTCCTCCAGTCCTCCCAACCCCTACAGTGCAAGCCTGATATTTCATTCCTGATATTTCCCTCCCTTGGAAGGCTTTCTTGGCTTCCCCTTCCTCTTGCCAGCCAAGCGCACTTGACCTGTGGTAACAGAAAGGTCACACAGCGCTGACGAATCTCCTCCAAGCGGCCTCATCTGCTCAAAGTACACAGTGTCACCCTGGTGGGAGCGCTATGTGGAGAACACTGGGGATGGAGGCAAAGTGTGTTGAGGACGGAGGGCAGACAGAAGGGCTGATAGACATAGCAGCAGTGCTCTTGGCCTTGAAGAAGAATTGCAGATTAGGCTTGGTAAACCAGAAAACGCCCCTGGGAAACACAGAAACAGGAGCTTTCAAGTACGTAAGAACGCAGATTTAGTGACCCCAAAACTAAATTCACACAGATAAAGAAAAGTACTTTTCTTCGAGGGAACTATGAGCTAATCTGGTGGTTTACGGTGTATTGACAATGGCTAGACAATCTGAGGCTCTTCTGATAACTCACAGTTAACTTTAAATCCTTGAAAGGCATTTGCACAAAACACCATTCATTTCCCATGAGCATTTAACAGACTGGTAGAAACGGAACTACTTTGCAGATAAATGTTTTAGATGTAAAGCATGTTTCATCTCAGGGAATACACTGGAATCACCAGAGCTTCAGACTGAATCAGGCCCAGGCGAAGGCCAAAGAGTGGATTTTAAAAGTTCCCCAGGCAATGCTACGGGCAGCGACAGTTCAGAACTACTGATGAAAAAAGCCAGAACTTTCAAAGATCGCCAGTACCCAGAATACTTACTGGTAAGCAGAAGAAGGCGACTGCCACCTATTATCATATGCCCTGCCATGCTTCTTCGCATGAGGTCTGAGTACTTTGCCCAGTAGATGGGCTACTTTTCAAACCCATGGGCCAGGAAT